ACAGAAACAAAAAAACCTCGACTTAAATTTGATTTAATTTGTTTATAAAACATTTGTTGCCCCGGAGAATTAAACTGCATCTGCTGTTCCCTTAACAGCTGCGTTCTTTGGGAAGCTGAACAAACAAGATGATCTTTCCGTTACAACCAAAACCACACTTCTTTGGTGACTGTTGATTTTGTGGTCTAAAAACAAAATGACAAATCCTTCTTGAGCAAGTCCTGTGCAGCTCTGACGATGACTTCAGTAACCCGAATTAAGCATGTTGATGGGTCTCTTGCTCTCGCTCTGTTAGCTGTGTGCGCGCGCTCTTCCGGGAGAAGTGCCCATATAAGGAATTCCACCCTTTATGACGTCATACAGGGCCATACTAAAAGAAAACTTTCTGAAACTTATACGAACCCTGAAGGAGTGTATTTGGCACAGAATTACTCCATCATGCGTCCAACTTGTGTTTTGAAACTTTGGCCATGTTTAGCATCAGAATCCAACTCTTTAACAGTGTAAATAAGTCAGAATAGCATTAGACCTCCACTTTAATGGCAGCAGCACTCGGGTCTGGATTGTAATAATCCATAGCAAACAGTGACTGTCTGAGTGGCTGGAGAGCTCATTATCCATTATCTGCACCAATCCCACAGATGAAGTCATTATTGGCCTCCGGTGTGGTGGTGGAGTACAAAGCTCAGTGTTTTGAGCCATGGATTGTGGAATCTGGGGGATTTTGCTGGTGTCAGGTGGCATTTCAAGAGTGCAGATTTATTTGCTACTTATTGGCTTCACTCCTTTTGTATTTCAGAACTGTTTTGATTTTTAGTCGGTTTTTCTTTTTATTGCAACAAAAAGCTGAAGTGAAAAGTTAACATGGGTCTCAGAATATCTACATTAAGCACTTGAGCTGGCATCAGCCCTGATACTCATGTTCTCTGGAACATTCTGAGATAAGACAATTAAATTGTACAAAGAGTCATTTGATCAGTGTCAGTCATTTACGTGTCGTGTATTTGGTTTGTAACCTTTGGTTTGGTTTGTAACCAGTGCAGTGAATCTCGAGTCTTTGTTGTGTGAGTTCTTGAGAGCAGAATCAATCCTTCATTGTCTGATAGCTACCAGGTTCGTCTATGTTTCACATTACATTCTTTTTTCTCTGGGACAATAAGCATCACCCTAGTTCCCAAACAAATCTATTTCAAGAATAACAGCCACATTTTTCGGAAGGTGACACTGCAAGATTACAACACAAAAGCCTGCTTATCAGTCTTGAACAAATGAGAATCAGGAGTTTGAGCATTGCAGCTGTTTCACTGTTGTACAGACTTTTTGACCGACAGCATCAGCTTTAATTTCTTTTTCCTGATTTATTTACTGGGTGTTTTGCAAGTGCTATAAATTGCATCAAGTTTGAGGAATCTGTCAGCAAATTTTTTTTTTCCTTCCTTCCTTCCATTGAAAGTGTTTTATGATGCAAAACTTTCTGAAATGTCAAATTGCTCAGTGTATTTGAGACATTTCAGTGTAGATCCATAATCAGTGGTCATAATAGAAAATGAGTTGGGATATGATGTATATAATTGTTCAGCAAGGATGCATTACATTGATCAAAAGTGACAGTAAAAACATTTAAAATGTTAGAAAAGATTTCTGTTTAAAATATTATGCTGTTCTTTTGAACTTACTATTCATCAAAGTATCCTGAAAAAATGGTTTCCACAAAAATGTTAAGCAGCACAACTGTTTTCAACATTGATAATAATCAGAAATGTTTCTTGAGCAGCAAATCAGCATATTAGAATGATTTCTGAAGGATCATGTGACACTGAAGCCTGGAGTAATGATGCTGAAAATACAGCTTTGCATCACGGAAATAAATTCCTTTTTTAAATATATCCAAATAGAAAACAGTTATTTCGAGTTGTAATAATATTTCACAATATTACTGTTTTTACTATATTGAATAAATCCAGCCTCGGTGAGCAGAAGAGACTTCTTTCAAAAAAAATCTTACCCACCCCAAACATTTGAACAGTGGTGTATGAAAGTATAAAATTAGACATCGAATGTTAAAGTCAACATAAAAATGAAAATAAATTAAAATTGGATTCATCAGTTCACATTATTCCAAAGAAAAAAATCATTTGTAATTGAGAATTTTGAACATAAGTGAATATCCTGTTTAAAATGTCATTACAGAAGATGTCTGTAAACTCTTGTCTGTCTTTAATTTTAGATGGGAACATGAGCTCCAGAACTTCAGTTGTGGTTCTGTCTGTATTGTGTTTTTTCCTCCTGTGCTCGACGGGTCTGCTGTTATGGTTATACTGTCGTGACAGGCGCAAATGACCTCACGTCCATACTGGACTCACATGAATTGCTGAAAAGTAACTACTGCTCTTCCAATAGTGCCTCCAATATTATTTAAAAGTTTTTATTATATTTAAATGAATACTGCTGCTCTACTAGACTTTATGCAATACAGATTTGGGACAGAAACACAAGAAATCATTAAAGTTGAAGTGTGTGATTTTTGTAGCAATTACATTGTGTTTGTTTCACTTTGCTGTCCTAAAATCTTCACTAGCGACTAGATGTTTAGTGAAACCAGAAAAAAAAGTCAATTTCAGGCTTTTTAGAGCATCTGTAAAAATATAAGAGTGAGAATGCTATACTATAATATAATTAGAATGTTTTACAGAAATCATATCTTGCAAAATTCATGGCTTCTTTTGAATGACAGTTTATGGAAAACAATGTTATTAGAAACCTAAAGTGACAACATCTGACAATAACGTGACCATGCTAACCAGCATAACAACACTAGCATCAATTTAAGGAAGGACTATCAATCTTTATTCTGTTTGTTACCACAGAAATTATACACTTCAGCTTTAAAAATGACAGCTCAATGAAGAGGGATATATTTTAAAACATTGACTATACAAATGTTTATTTATGAAATATGCATATCACTGAAATAATATTCAAAACAAAACGCTCACTGTATGCCTGCTGATTTTGAAGTTTTTTAAAAACGCACAGCCTTGCGGGAGAGGTTTACTTTAGCTGTAGCAGCATTAATATTAACAAGATGTATTTTACTTTTTTTTTTTTCTTTTTTATCAACTTTTTCAAAAATAAAGTGTTTCATGTTTTTTTATATTATTTTTTAAGACATTTTAAATGATCTTATAAAAAAATAGAATTTAGACCAAAACCAAACACGGTATTTTTCCATCATGTGTTATATGTTTCTTTCTAAGTTACAAAATGACAAATTATTAAAGGGGTCATATGATGCGATTTCAATTTTTCCTTTCTCTTTGGAGTGTTACAAGCTCTTGGTGCATAAAGAAGATCTGTAAAGTTGCAAAGACTAAAGTCTCAAATCCAAAGAGATATTCTTTATAAAAGTTAAGAGTCAGCCACACCTACCTAAAACGTCTCGTTCTAACACGCCCCCACATATCTACCTCACGATGTGGGAAGATTTGCATAACACCGCCCAAATGTTCACGCAAAGAAAGAAGGTGTAACTTTTATTCTCGCTGTAGTATTGTTGCTGCCGCCATGTCGTGAAGGCGCTGTGTTTCGTTGTGAAAGTGAAACTACTTTGTTTGGTCTTCCAAAAGAGGACGATATCCGCTTCGTCATGCCTAGAGCTGATCTGTGCTGATCGCTGAGGGAATACATCAACGTCACGCTGTGGATCGCCGGATCGGCTTTCACCGTGGATGAAACAGAGTTCTGCCCGGCGTCGTCACATGTGGTTGCCGCAAGCCCGCCGGACGCTCCTTCGTCGACTCCGCCGGCCGCGCCGTTCTCAAGTCCGCCGCCTCTGCTCACTCAAGGCCGTGGTGTGTGACGCTTTTTCGTTGTGAAAGCGAAACTACTTTGTTTGGTCTTCCAAAAGAAGACACGACTAGAAAT